CAGTTTGTAGACGATGATCGCAAGCATTTTCCAAACAGTCGGAAGTTAACCTGCAGGAAAAACTCCAGATGCAATGAGTCCATCACGCTCGTCGATTGTAAAAAAGAGAAGTGAGTGCTTGGCGCCAGGTATTCGTATAGCTTCGAACAACTTCGTATCAAAATTACCCTTGTACAAGTGCTTATAATTGCGTGGTGTTTCCCCTGGGGCAGGTAGAGGGTCAACGGGCCTGCTTCTCCTCACACCTTTGTGCGCACAATGTCCGCACTCCAATTAACTTTTTTTTGCACATGGTTTTCGCTGATATGAGCTTTTATTAGATGTGAGGCTTCGGACCTAAAATTTGTTGTACCCGTTTACGGCCGATGATGCATATCTATCTATCCTCAGTTCTCGCCCGTCAATCGATCCCTTTGAGAACTCAACGCACCGACGGAAAAGGATGTTTGTCGTGCGCCGGGACGGCTAGTCCCGGACCGGCGTATTGGCCTAAACGTCGCGAATATGCCGATGGCTAGCAACGCCTGTTCGGCAGGTTTAACCAAGATGCAATATAAGCTGTCTTGCCGCCAATTGCTGTCAGACGTTTTTGACGCGTTGCTATTCGTTGAAGCCCTGCTCGCTAGTACCTATGCCAGAAATTCAATTTGGCAACGGTTTACCAGCTAGTGCTCTTCGGGAAAATCAATTTTATCACAGATGAGCGAGGCAAGCGATGCCCTCCGTGTACTAAGCACTACCGGCGCCTAGTGCGGTGTATACCCCATGGATCTGGGATCTTATCAATCTCTTTACAGAACTCAGGGAGTATCTATAGCTACGATTTTGATTCGTAGACTCTAGCCATGACTAGACGTGCAACATATCTAGGTATCGGTCTGACCCAGGCCCATAAAGAAGCGTTGTTGTATCAAAGGCAGTTGTGCCGGTCGACTTGAGCTTAATGGGCAACTCGGTACGCGGAGGAGGGAAATTGTCACTACTCCATTCTTTATCAAACCAGTTTTGTAGGTAGTTCGGTCTCACCATACCAAGTGCGGCTGCGATCTAAATGGAGGAGAATCCCATCCCCTCTCTTTGGCTGCAGTAATGGTGCAATCTAGAGTATTCCGTAGGTGTCCGGACCGTGTCCAAGTGCAACAAGTTAGTCACCGACAAAATCGACCGCTATGTGGGTTCAACCATAAACATGTCGAACGTAAAAATGTATCTGACATCGTTCACGTTAGCTATCCGGGCGCTTCTACACGCTCTTGCGCGTGTAACTCTTATTATTGCTATCGCTCCAAGGACTCTATACCACGCCGTAAGTAGCAAAGTTAAACCAAGTTTAAGTTTGGACGAAGACAGTGGATGTCCACCTTAGCAATCGGCTGTCCGGAAAGGCTACCCCTAATACCCACGACTTGCGTACCGTGTGTCCGTGCTAGAGAAGCACGGGACTTGAGGGCGACCAGTCAGTAGGTGCGGTCCTCGGACACCACAGGGTTTGTGCGCGGGGAGTATGATGAATTTCCACAAAGCCCATGCAGCTTTATATACCGACGCTGAAGGAGCTGATGCAAAGGGCCTCTACGAGTCGCACTATCGGCATGAGCGCGCAGAGTACTAATCTCCGAAGCTCCTTCTCTTCACCGGCCATTCCTGTAATTGCTCCCGAAGTAACTTACCCACATCGGACTTGTAAACCCACGCACGTAAAACGAGTGTGTGTCAATAATTCATAGTTCAAATAACTCGGCTATAGCTCGGATCCAAAACGGTACGCGACTCGTGCAGAGCTCTACCCTGCACTTACCCACTTATCCGGTGTATCAAAATATTCATTCGGGGCCCAGAGGAGTTGCTGAATCCAGCATTAGAATCAGATACGCAGTGAGTAGGCCAACTACACGAATGATGGGACTGTTAGCTGTAGTGGTCTTCCCGCTACACGATGTTGGGGGGGCCGCATTAGAGGCCTAATAGACGGCAATTCAGGGCCGGGGCATACCACCGCAGCGCGAGGGGTCCGCGTGGATTGCTACGTCCATATTATGGACAGTTCTGCGAGACTTTGCTCAGCTTGTTCACACCGTAAAACTCTGCTGTCCTGAGCTCTGTAAACCCTAAGTAGGTGAATACGTTTGAGTGAGAAATCGGCGACGAGCATATGGATGGATGGAAGCCAGGCATACCTTTAGTACTTCTGGTGCTTTGCGAACCGTGGTTTCGGGAGACCAATGCGCATGGCACAGTGGTCCATATTCGTTTCGGCGGCCTCATCGCATTTTTCCTTCACACACCAACTACTTCTCCTCAAGCACTTCTCTTCTGGTTGGCACAAATCGAGCCTGTTGGAAGTCACTATAACGACAACTGAGTTACTACTGCCGGCCGGTGGTCCCAACCACTCCTCCAATGCCTTCTAGGATAGCTGGGTAGCGATCGGTAGGAATTATGTGTCAGGCCTGATACGGATCGACGGCACGAAAATGGGCACTAACCTCTCGAGGCGAGTATCAAGGCTACGTCACGAGAATAGTCCCTTATGATGCGTTTAGGAGCCCTGCGGTAATGGAGTGCATGCCGCGTGTACCAGTTTAAGGTTTGCGCGCCCTACTGTTGAACCATTTATTCCGGATTCTGGGATGGTCCACCAAGTACGCGACAGTAACTAAACCTCCTATTAGACATAATTTTGAGTCGAAACAGCGCGAATCTCGCACTATTCGGGATGTTTCCGAAGCCGTATTTATTTACTTGCGTTAGATGATGTGGGACTCGTGTCGTCCTATGAAAGTTGGCGGAATCATCCAATCGTCGAAGCGTGGAGCACCAGTGCCTAAACATATACCCGCGAAATCCGAACTAAGCTTAGCGATAAACAATATATCTCCATCGCCAGGTGTCATGGTGACTCACTCTTAACGGCCGATTGATACTAAGTAACCCCGCGCAAGCACGAGATTTTAGCAGCGTGTGGTAGGACGATGGAGAGGGTACCTCTTTCTCATGACAAAGGTTTGCAGGGCACCAGTCATCTACAGCGTTTGCAAAGATGGGCGCTGCTTGGAATTTCGTCTGTATAACCAACGCACAATGTCTACAAGTGCGTATTACTGCATACGATTGGAGACCTGCCGCGACGCTGCCTTGGCGGGTTAACGTAGAGTTAGCCATGTGATCAGTGGAGATTCGGTGTTAGTGTCGAAGGTCAAATTCGGATTTTTCGGAATATCGCGTCGACCGTGGGGCGATTCTATCTACAGTAGATCGAAGAGTAGAAGCAGCTTAAGTGGACAATGTACGCTAATACAGTAATGATCCCTTTCCGACAAGAGAGCATCAAAGCTACAATGTCTTCGTTCGAACGGTCCGATGTCGATAATGATCCCATGTTATTTCTGCCTGATACTAGTCTTTGGCACCCGAGTATACGTAGAATGACTGGAGCACGATTTATTTAGCGAAAGCTTGGGCTCACGGCGGTACTGGATCGTTGAGATGAAGCCGAGGCTTTCTGCGTCAGGTGCGAGGGAGCCGCCTACGCCATTCATGTAGGGCTAACGTCTTTCCACATACAGCAACTTGGTAACTTTGACCACGGGTAGGAGAAGCGTGGCATTTTGGGTAACCGCAGTATAGCTCCCAAGGCCCCGCGGTTTCATTGACCGATAATTCGCGAAGAGCAGGTGACGTTTTTCAAGTACCTAAATCCCTAAGCGGAGGTTGCAATGGAGCAGCGTAGCCGAACGACCTTTAATCTAGCAGGTGCAAAGGTACCGGTCCCACTCTTCCTTGAACACAAAGTGTCCGTATAACTGGCACGTCCGTCACCGACGGTCCGTGACCTCAAGGGGTATAGCGCTTGCGTCTTCCAGCCTATCACGATCGGCTCCCGATTGCGATGATCCGATCAAAAACTCGGTATCTCGTGTCTTTGCTCAATGCCTGGTGAGAGGCACGTATGCTTCTTGTTCCATGATATTAGCGTTAAGCTTATTCATTAGGGTGAAGGCGTGACTCCCCTTATGTTTTTTAAATAAAGTGGGTACGGTTCTGTGAAAGCTTCTCCCAACATATATGGAGATGTCCCGGCGAGTTTGCCATTATTGAGGACATACCTGCCGATTTTCTAGCACGTCACGCTACATTTTCCATTCATTAACGAAGGATACATGCGTGCTTGCGGTCTCGTGGTAATGGGCCTCTGGGTTCCAGGACCAGTAGCACGTTGCTTCACAACACGGGCGTGCTTGACTGCTATTTAGCCGAAGTGGCTACATGAGGACAACTTACCGCGAGATGGTGAGGATTCCCTGAGCGGGGGGGTCAGATGCCCGTAACTGGAGCTGACGGGTGTTGCTTTCAAGTGTCTTTCTACAAGGCCATCCACTGTAGATATATAGAGGCTTACGCCTGCCTAATCAGTTGAAAACTTCCTAGGGCCCGAGGCTTGTCCGCGGATCCTCCTCGACCACAGCCGAGAAACTACTTGATGATACCGGAACCCTAGTTATATAGGGTTGGCCTCTGACAAGCTGCTGATCCAGGAAGAGTGCACCTATACTGCGTCCTCACTTTTCAGCTTAACCGTCGAGTGTCCCGAGAGATGCTTAGGCTGTGACTTCCCCCAGGTGTCTCAGGAGAGGACCCAGCCGCATCCGGTTGGATGAAGGAACTTCGAGTCTGCAGATCTTGAACGCAAGACACAGCCTCCAGCGCAAAAACACGGTTGAACAGACCATTACGATGTCGTAGTGATCCTCGGCTTATGCTCGCGGTCTGGATGAATCCACGCCTAATGATCCTGCCCATTCCTATTTGATGGATTTAACCAAGTCGTATCGTTCGGTTCAGAGCCCGCGGCCACTTCATCTCCCCGAAAGTCGGCTCCATTACCCGGGTAAGGTTGCTATGCGTTGCGAGGGGTTTAGGCCTTCGCATAATGTCCTTTGCGATCAGATACCCGACCACCTCGGCCTCAGGCAGGTTCTCTTGCCATACATTTGACGCGAATGCCGTCTAACGGGTCAAGGTAAGTCAGACTCCAGTCATTACATGTTTTATAATACCCAGGTGTTCTAATTATAACTCTAAGGCTGTCGAAGCAACGAGTTTGATTGTACAAGCCTCCTCAATCATATCTGCTTTATGGATCGTCGGTATCTGGCTCACAAAATATGGCGGGCGCCGTATTATTCATCGTACCTCTCCCCACTACAAACCTTTTATCACGACAGTAAGTGATAGCACGACGTCAACCCACCTTACTATGGAACCCGACTGCCGGCTCAGAGGATATGCCTACCCTTAACTATCCACCCAATTTCGAATTCAGACGATCTCGCGCAGATGGTTTCTAAGGTCCACTGCTCACCAATTACTCCGATTGCATTCCAGGAACGCTTGTCCGGGCCTTTCACCGAACGCCTAGAAGAAATATTCTCTATCTGAGCTTCCCTGTTCGTATCTCAGTATCGATTATATGAGCCGCTGTCTCACATGCATTTAAGAACTACGGATTGCCGCTCGTGAGCGGCACGTTGCGGATAAAGCGTCATATAAGCCGAATACTCATTCTACCTCTATCAGTGGAGTGCTAGGGTCACAAGTATCATCGCGTCGAAAAGTGAACTGCCGATCGATCGGATGCGGCAAATGACTGAGAACGCGTTATTCTCACCTCGCTAACTCAGGACGCTTAGACAGGATCTCCGGCCTTATCCACCCTTACTGAAATTAAGAGGCCAGCTTCCGGTCTCCCGTCCGGGAGACGAATATCATGGTATTGTTCGACCTGTCAATCTCGGGGATCATAGCAGGTTTAAGATTTACGGGCAGGCTTATATTACGAGGCGCTACTTTGCAAGGGACTCCGGAACATGGACTGGCCATAATGGCTCCGCTACGGTTTGTTCAGAATTTTCGAGTGATTCGCGTTAGGCTACGGATGTTATCGCAACTCTTCCCATAGTAAGCGCCTCATAATCCAACTCACAACCTGTAAGCGGATCTCATCGCTCAGACGCGTTTATCAGGCGGCAGGGGAGGCCACCTATATTCTTTTGCGCTGACGGGACCCGGGATCGGACGATGTGAAAACATAAATTTCGATATTCTCGAACCGTTGCGCCAACGACATTTCACGCCGGCGGCAGCTTGCTGGCCCGACCTGGCTGCCACAAACCTTATTCGTCACATTTTCTGTCACGCTCCAATGTAGATGGACAACTCCAGGCTTAGACAACCTTGAATCTTGGACGTTCCCTTGGTATTTTCAGGTTGAGGTTCTCGACGTTACGGGGCTTACATTGGGCCAGGCGCAAATAAGGGTTGCGCTGAGGCGACATGATTCGTCATTACGATGTATTGTCTTGGGGTAGATACAGGAGCGCGAAGCTGTGTAGGTATGGCGTGTGAACGCCGCTCTCAACAACCTGTAGATTATTCTCCTGGCTTTGTTGACACTTTGAGTAGACCTGGGCTCCGCTGCGCGAAGAGTATTCTGGAATACATATAAACGTGGGATGTGCGGGCGCAGGAGGATCTGATTGCTTTAAATTGGCGCGGCTATGGGGCTAAAGCATATTAAGACCGTCTAACAGACAGCCTCCGGGCTGCCATTAGAAAACGCGAGAAGTTATTAAGTGTTGAAATACGATCAAGTTTACCCATGACTTCTTTACCCGCAAGAGACGCACCTCATCGCGT